CTGATCTCCTGGTGGAGTTGCAAGATATGGGATAACTGCCTACAAGGATAGTGAAGGTGTCACGGTGTTCACCAGTGCGCCCCATAAATGAACACGCTCTTAGAGCTCTGCCCACGGCGCCGTAGCGAGTGGTTTATTCAGGCACGCATTCAAACGCCCCGAGATGAGCTCGCTGCTCGGGAAACATAGTGCTACTATCACCATATTTGACAGGTATTCCGTGCACGACGTCACCGCTAAGGCGTCGATCCCGTTCTTCAAGGCGACGGCGTGTCTCCCTCGCGCGCCCCCGTTATCTCGGAGCGACACGTGCGGTCCTGCATGTAAACTTGTCTACACACATAAAACGATATTCCAACATGCAAGTTTTCCTCTTCTCTACTCGACCATCTCACTCCGGTCCTCAGTGCAAGCTCGGGGCGCCCATACATCTGCGCCTTTGACCCTTTGCTTTGACCCCGACTTGCGCCAATGCCGCTGCCGCCTCGGCCGTCCTCTATCTGCTCTGCCTGCTGGAAAGGTCCATTCGCGGCGCAACTAGGCCTTCTAGGACAGCCAGTCGAAGAACACCCCGATGAACATACAGCAGTTTCCTGGTCCTGGACTGGCGGATATACCTACACCGTCTCACTGCCAGCGTTGTTGTTCCGCGCAACTCTTGGTTGCAAGTGGTGCAAGTTCCTTGCCGAACGACTTGGGGCGAGGAGCTTGAAACACATGTGGCGGCCCACTACCCGATGGCGCAGGCCTTTGAATGTCAGGATCGGAGGTGTGCCAAGAGCGGAGGACGGGGACCCTGCATCATTGCGCATCATCGTAGACAATGGTGTCAACTTGTATGAAAGTCCGATGAGGTTGTATGATCGATTCTCCACGTACACGACACTAGGTGCGTTCTCGGAGACGCGCGACTGAGCCTCGTTTCCATCAATGCTGATACCAGCGTGGCTATTCCAGACGATCCTGCTGCAAGATTCATCCCCGGAAGAGCTCGCCTAACCGACGTAGGATCCGACCGTACACTCGCTTTGGCGAAGGCGTGCGTTGAACAATGTGTTCGCGAACATGAACGCTGCCGAGCCATCTCATCGAGTGAACCCAATTCGCTTGAGCGACACGTTCCCACCCGCCTCATCGATTGCACGGACCCTCATCGTCTTCACATTATCCTGACGAAGGGCGTACCCCACGCTTACGCTGCACTCAGCTACGTATGGGGCGGGGATCAGCCTCACCGCACTACCAAGGCAAACTTGTCCTCCTACATGACCGGCATCGACCCTACCAACCTCCCTCAGACCATCCGCGACGCGATCTATGTCACGCATAAGCTCGGAATAGGCTTCCTTTGGATCGACAGCCTCTGCATCATCCAGGACTCGCCAGAAGACAAACTTCGCGAGCTGCCGTCTATGCGCGACGTCTACCGCCGTGCTTACCTGACGATCGACGCTGCTAGTGCGGAGAAGGCCTCCGATGGGTTCCTCCAGGATAGACCGCCCTCGGAACCTCCGATGCTCACCCTTCCGTTCATCTGTCCCGGAGGCCCCACCAATACCGTGGCAGAAGTCGGGAAGCTTTATATCCCAGGGAGCATCTATAACGCATTGCCTACGATGGACCGCCTCCGCTTAACCACCCGCCAAAGGGCGTGGTGCTTGCAGGAGAAGCTGCTGTCGACTCGCTGTCTTGTCTTTACCGGGGACACTGTCCGGCTTGGGTGCCAGACGGTGACCCAGAACATTGGAGGAGCCTATCATGACGACAAAGAAGAGGTTCCCCGGTTGCCTGACACCGTCTTCAATCCAGGTCAACGACCCGTCGAACGTTACTCTGACGACTGGTTGGAGATCCGCCATCGATGGCATGCCGTCGTCCGAGACTACGCTAGCCGCGAGCTCTCGTATCCGTCGGACAAACTCGTCGCTTGCGCAGGCCTCACAGAGATGTTCGCCGTCGCATTGGGCTCGACCTATGTCGCCGGATTGTGGAACGACGACTTCTTCCTCCTTGATCTCCTGTGGCATTGCAAGCTGGCGCTACCTTCCCCGGCAGGGTACCGCGCACCCTCGTGGTCGTGGGCGTCCGCGATGCATTTGTTAGTGGAGTACAGAGATCCTGCACGACCGGAGCCAGCCTTTGTAAGAGGCAAGATGGCAGAAGTAGTCAGCTGCACCGTTACGGTCCAGGACGAGTCGTTTCCACTAGGGCCTGTTACAGGCGGGCTACTCATTCTTCGAGCGCACTTGTTCAATTGCAAGGTCCAAGAGGAACGATCCGGCAACGAAGTGTATGTGGTTTCCGGGTCGACTGAAGGTACGTACCGCCGTCTGCACAATGATTTCGCATGTGAAGGTTGACTGGCATTCTCAGTGCGTCTGAGCTCGCACCTTGATAGGGAACTCGAGGAGACCTATCCTGAAGGCGTGTGGGCTGTTCCACTGCGGAGGGACATAGAGGAAGGTGACTCAGAAGACATATCGAGGTCTACTCTATGTGCAGGCCTACTTCTGACCGAACATGCCGAACCGGACTCGAACAACGGCGGACTAGGGAGCGGGGATTTGAGGATATTCAGAAGGGTGGGATACTTCGAGATTGAACACTGGCGTAACCACGACATGCAAGGGTTGGGTTGGGATGGCGAGTGGTCGCTCGAGACGGCGGCGCAGTTCGGGATTGTATGAATGCTGCTGCTGATGCGATTTGCGAGGTAGCATTTGGTTTCAGAGAATGTGCTATACTATACCGTCTGGTTTTCGCGATGATCATCACTGTGCTCTCGCAATACTGTAGTTGTACCCCTGCGGTTGCCCTGCCGCAGTGGCACTGTCCCCAGGGAAAGAAGCAAAAAGTGAGAAGCTCCGCCGGGGTTCGAACTTGCGACCAGACCAACGAAATCATCACATGCCGATACAAGGACAAACTGACGCTTCTTCTGCCAGGCCCGGTTCAACTTGAACGTTCAGTGATGTTCAATCACACGCCGAGCTTAGAGAGCACTCAGATCCATTCACATCCTCCAGCATGGCCTTCAAGTCATGCGTATCGTCTCACATTGGCCGTGCATCACATCTAGGCCCACTGATATACCTAAATCTACAAGGGACTTAACATGTACAATTCCCCTCCATTCTCGATACGACCGGCGACATCACAGCGGCTTCCCGAGGACGTCGATCCCAGCCTGAAATCCGGGACGAGCAAAGGACCGATCGACCCACGCCTGTGCGAGGTGACTCGTGAGCCGGATGTCTGCATTTAAGTCCTACTGACACTTACCTTCAGGTGCGGCCACTCGTCGAGAGACGGGATGTCAGCCTTCTTGTAGAATCTGATCCACGGGATGACGTTAATGTCCGCAAGGCTGTAGACACCCCGTCCAGATCCCGCGAGGTAGTCGCGGTCCTTCAGGCGAATCTCGAGAACGCCGTAGAGGCGTTTGGTCTCGTCATGATAGCCTGGACACGAATGATTTAGTGATCAGCAAACGATGATGATGATGTTGCTCACGCTTCTTCGCGTAGGGGATGTCCTCCGTGGCATAGTTGTAGAAGAAGTTTGCCTGGCCCTGCATCGGGCCTACCCCGCCGTGCTGCGAAGACGTATGTGAGCGCTTTGCAGCGGACAGTGATCGTCGCATGCCAAACGAAGTCTCACGGCGAAGAAGATCCACTGCAGCATCTCGCTCCAGTTGTCGGGATCAGTGTCCTTGTCGAACCCGAACTTGTTTTCCTTGTCGTAGTGTTGCTGCAGGTAGAGCAGGATCGCCGCGGACTCGAAAACCACGAAGTCATCGCGGTTGCGGTCGATGACGACGGGGATGCGGCCGTTCGGGTTCAGCTTGATGAACCAAGGCTCTTTCTGAGTGCCTTTGGTGATGTCGATCCGCTCGATGCTGTGATGACGGTGAGAATACCAACTGTGAACATGCGATCATCGTCACATACTCGTATTCCAGGCCGTACGCGGCTTTGAGTTCCTCGAGAAAGACGGAGACCTTGTGGCCGTTGGGGGTCGGCGCGGCGTAGTACAAGATACCGCTGGGCATGATTGCGCAGATGTCACAGGGGATGCGGCGAAAGTAGTGATGGGCTTTTCGTGGCGAGTACAGATACTTGACACAGTACTTATACGCGTCCTGGGTCCCTAAGGCACCAGATTGAGGCCTAGGTGTGGCCATCGTACGCTGTATCGAAGATTCAATGCCTTCACCTAGCGGCTTGAATTCGATAGCTACGCTTACAACGTGCTGTATTCGCCATCCGTTCGCCTTCGTAGGTGGACCCACTTGGCAAGTATGAATATATCTCACCCTCCCCGTCCGTACTCACCATCGCCCTTCCCGTCCGGCGTAGAATTCGCTCCCTTCCCTTCTCGCCAGGTGCAGAGGCACCCAACAATCAACTAGCATCGCGGATAACTGAGGCCTACTGCGTCATGCGCCTACTCTTACTGAGCGATACGCATCCCAGTGTCCTTTTGAGGTCGCACATACCCACCCTATCCGGACATCCCGAATCACAGCAGTGTCTCATTGATACTCAGCCTATATCCCTGCTAACTCGACTTAGTTCCAGTAATGCGAAGTCCGGACGACTTACTCCGAGATAGCCGCACGCACTCTATTTCACGATCTTTGCGTATGAGCCATCGTCGCCATATATCTCATATAGGCCGCTTGATGGCCGAAACTGGTACGGTCTGCATGGAAGGCTCCTGGTATCGTCATTCGCTCGAGCTCCTTCTCCTGCCATATTCTGATCAAGTTCAGACTTCGAGTGAGGGATTGATATCTGCTGACCTGGATAATCCCTGGATTGAGGCTCCGAGCCGTTGAGTGATGTGATGGGTGTGCGGTCAGGCCAAGTCAGATCTTACACTGCAGCACAAGTTCAAGTTCACAACACTACGCGTCCATGGCATGACTCTGTGCAAACCCATGGCAGAGTTGCAGAGATTTGCATAACAGCTGGAACAGGACAAAAAGTGTAACCGATTACCCCCGGCGGGACTCGAACCCGCAACCTCCAGATTAGGAAGGACTGTTTGAGGCCCTAGAAGTCTGACGTCATAGCCATTAGACAACGGGGGCCTGTACAAACTCTCTTCAAAAGCGTATATATTTGGTTTACTGCACAGCACAGCCCTCGCTTTCCAAGACAAGCAGTGGCCGGCGGGACTTGGGACCTGCAACTTGGGTTGGGCTCGTTTCAACCTACGCAGGCCCCCCGTTGATGGATGTACCGCCGGGACAGTCGTATCAGCATCTGGACTCCGGAAGATGGCACGACACGTTGCGTGCACCGCTGGCGTGAGCTGGGGCCGCGGAGACAAGACCTTGCGGCTCCCTGGGTGGCTGTTATTGTTCCGAATTCCTCGACAAGGGCACCCGGCTTGCTCTTGTACGACACCTGGAGCCACTGACTTGAGTATTTGAAGTGCTCGTCTTGGTGGAGGGTAGGAGTGCTGCCTGAAGCCTGCTGACAGCTATGGGTGCTTTTTTCTCCAAGGGATTCAAGCCGGAGACGGATGTTCCTGATCTTACTGGGAAGGTCATCCTCGTCACGGGAGGAAAGTACGTCGATTACCCACTCATTCTCTGCCATCTGATATCATGCTGATACCGATGCTTCACTAGTGCTGGTATTGGTTTTGCTACGATTCAGCATCTCGCTAGGCGTGGTGCCAAAGTCTACATGGCTGCTCGTAACGAGCAGAAGGCCAAAGCTGCCATAGAACGGTTGCAGGCCGAAGGCTTGAGCCCCGGAAACGGGGAGGTCCACTGGCTGAAACTCGACTTGAGCGATCCGCGGGAGGTGAAGCGCGCGGCAGAAGAGTTCATGCAAAAAGAAGATCGACTGGATGTCCTCAGTGAGTGCCGTTGCCTGCCGCTTGGTATCTTGCACTGACTGTTCCTGCTCTATGCTCTGTATAGTCAATAATGCTGCCATGTAAGTCGCGTGTGGCACGGTATAACGGCGAACAAGAGTATTGACATGATGGATCCTACCAGGCTGCTTGTTCCGTACCTCAAAAGCCACGACGGTAAGCCCTCCGCTCCTGCTGCGATGGCGTCTTGGTACTGATTTTCTCCGTGAAGACCTCCAGGACATTGTGATGGTCAAGTGAGCGCAAGCGATACACACACACTGCCTTTCTCTCGAACTGAGCGTCAATGTCTAGCTACATCGGAGCATGCACCTTCACACGTGCACTCCTTCCGCTGCTCAAGAAGACTGCACAGGAACCCAACAGCGATGTCCGCGTGGTCTGTGTACGTGGTTGCGGTTTCCTACACTTGCCTCAACCTTGCCGGGTGACTGACACGACGCGTGTAGCTCAACTCGGCGAGGCACTATCACTGTCCGAGCGACGTCCGCTTCCGCAACCTGGACGATCTCAACAGGGACTTTGAGGACACGTCCTTCCCCCAGCTGCTGCGCTACTGTGCGTCTGTCCCTTGAGGTCATGCCTCTGGCTGACACTAATGCGTCTCTCATCAGCATACACGAAGATCATGCAGCTGCTGTTCATCCGCGAGCTCCAGCACCGGTTGGATGAGCAAGGCGTCCCGATCCTCCTCATTGCCGTCGACCCTGGAGAAGTCAACACTGGTACGAACGAGCCTTCCTTCCCTTTACCTGATCGCTAATCTACTTCCCTCTCTTCACGCTGCGCGGTTGCACATACTACTTTCCGTGCACAGAGGGCGTCCAGGCGTACGCCCACTCCGTCGGCCCGCTCCTCTCGCCGCTCTACCGCCTCATCGCCAACCTGACGTTCACCTCCCCGACCAAGGGCGCGTACGGCCCCGTCTTCGCCGCCGCCTCGCCCGTCCCGCGCGCCCAGGCCGATGCATACCGCGGGGCGTACCTGAAGCCGGCTGCGAGGCTCGTCCGGGCGAACCGGGTCGTGGAGAGGGAGGATCTGAGGAGGGAGCTGTGGGAGACGACGGATGGGTTTTTGAAGGGTTTGGGGATCGAGCTTCCGGAGCAGTGAGGGTGACATCGAACAGGAGGATGAAGGATGAGAGGGTGTTGGAGTAGAAGAGAGAGGGGAAGGGTGAGCTGTATGTGGGTTAGATAGGGGAATGCAATAGACAGATCGTTGCTTGCTATGGTTTGGTACCGAGTTACCCTGGAATAATCTCCGAGACCTTGGAAATATACGAACCGTCCATATGTAATACGCAGGGCCCAGCCATGAGCAGATACGACGAGCCCTCAAACATACATTCACACTGCCTCAAACTCCAGCCCAAGGTCCCTCAACACCCTCTCCGTCGTCTCCCACAACACAACCCTCAGCTCCTCCTTCTCCCCAATCGGGTTCGCAGACGAGTGCGTGCCCGGGTTCTTCAAGAACGCGCCCTTGTACTTCGCGCTGTCCTTCCGAGGCAGGGATGACGCGGCCGCGAAGACGGTGCTGTACGCGCCCTTGGTCGGCTTCGCGAAGGTCAGGTTCGCGATGAGCGTGTAGATGGGCGAGAGGAGCGGGCCGACGGAGTGCGCGTACGCTTGCACGCCCTCTGTGTGTCGGTGGTCAGAGATGGCGTGGGCATGGGATTCGCAGGAGGGGAGAATTCGTGACGGAGGAAAGTGACGTACCTGTGTTGACTGCGCCGGGATCGGCAGCGATGCAGAGGATGGGCACGTCCTGCGCGTCGAGCTTGCGCTGGAGCTCTTTGATAAACATTAGTTGCATCATCTTGCTGTAGGCTACGCGTTGCGAAGGCGAAGCGTCACCGTGTTAGCTTCGGCTCGGTGTGATTGAGACGGAATATACACACCGTAGCGTATGAACTGGGGGAAAGAGGTGTCGGCGAACTCCCTGTTCAGATCGTCTACGTTGCGGAAGTGGACGTCTTTGGGGCATTGGTTGTTTGCGTTAGAGTTAACCTGGGAATCAAGTATATGAACGTTAGCCAGGCACAAGGTGAGAATGCCCGTGAGCCACTTACAGCAATGATGCGGACATCGCTTCCGGGTTCTTGTGCGGTCTTTTTGAGGAGAGGAAGCAAGGCCCGAGTGAAGACGTAGGTTCCAACGTAGCTGCAGTGTGCATATCAGTCAAACGCGCGAACAGAGGGGAAACGGAGGTAGGCTGACTTGACCACGACAACATCCTGGATGCCTGCAATATGATGCGTCAATACTAAACGGGAGCCAGGTTTATGCTATCCTACCATCGTGGGTTTTTTGGAATGGTAACAGCAATCTGGTTATATCGTATAGCTAGTTAGACACGTGAAACGGTATTGAGGAATAAGACGTACATAGCAGCGTTGTTGACTACCGTTGTGTGCTCAGACGGACACCCATCATAACGAGCGCCTGCAGGGTTTGAATCACGTACTCAGGATATCCAGCCGTTGTTCTTTCTGCAAGAACTCTTCCGCAGCTTTCTTGACGTCCCGAGGGTTGCTCAAGTCAAGCTGAAGCCAGATCACTTCACCATTGCCCGGTCCAAGGCCTTCCGCGTGCAGCCTCTCTATGGCCGCCTTAGCCTTTTGCTCATTCCGCGCTGCCATGTAGACCTTCGCGCCATGCCTAGCCAGATGCTGGACCGTCGCGAAGCCCACTCCGGCACTGATATCGCGCGTCAGCACACCGTGGACAGAGTCATGGGCGATGACTTACTTTCCGCCAGTCACTATGACGACTTTGCCTTTGAGGTCCGGAACGTCCGTGGCTGGGTCAAAGGATTTGGAGAAGAATGAACCCATCTCACCGGACGGCTGCTTGCTGAATGAGCCGGTCGCTGCGCATTTCTGTATCTCAGCCTACTCACCTGTTATGCGAATGGTGCTAGCAGGGGGAGATATCAAATAGCGCGTCGTGGGGCGGGAAGTTGGATTCGGACTCAGCGCGCGTGGGCTGTTGTGGTTAGTAGCTGAGTTGATACGTCAGCAATGCACGTCATCATATTCGGCCTACTGCTCAGTTCTCCACGTCATGGGTAAGTTCTCTCTCAAATCCAAGCAGTAAAGTGGTTATATAGTCGCGGAGGATGTACAGGACTTGTTTCTGCGACTTGGTTGCGGTAGAGATGATCGACGCGAGTGGAATTCTCCCTGACTGCAGATCGGACGGGCGCTTGTACGGATCGGGAAGACGGAGCGCGTGAATTTGAGTTTGGTCCGACGGGCGCTCCGGTGTCTTTGCTTGCCGGATGTCCCCAATAAGGCAAGGGGCGAGTTGTCGGTCCAAAGGCTTCTCCGTTCCGTCGTTCCTGTTTCGTCCACAAAGTGGCTACCACGCACGATTTTTCCTCTTCGTTCTGCCTGGAAGAAAATTACTTTGGCTCACAATTCCACGCTCACCCAAGTATATGTTGGACTGAACATGAATACAGGCCTCGAAGACGCAATGTGATTCGAGTACATACAGACGGGTGTAGCTCAGGGCCCGCGATGCAGGTACCGCCACCGTTCCGAAGGGACATGTTGCGAGCGGGAAAAGAGAGGACCCACAGCTGCTATCGACGCAATCTGACCAAAAAGCCACAGAAAGCCACAGCGATCGGCCCAGTCCAGATCGCAGATTGGCCTCCGGCGGGCGAGAAGTGCCCAAAGCAGTCGTCCGTTCTGACAAAGCATGGGAGTCGACGCACCACATCCCAAATCCGCCATAGCCCACTCTCTCCTCCACTCGTCGGATGATCGCTCTTCCGTGCGGAAAAAGACATATCGTCTCCCAGCCATGCTCTCGCGTTGCCACTCCTCTTTCTCTCCGCCTTTCACGACTCGCGCTCCCTCTTCTCTACCACCCGTCTAACTTCCCCACATTCCCTTGAACACCTCGTATCACGACCATGGGCCTCGTCGACGACGTTGTCGGCGCCCTTCTCATCGAAGTCTGTCTGGCATGCATGTACGCTCACCGTCTGCCTTCGCGACTTGATTGGTGGCTCATGGCGTTCCCAGTCTTTACGGCGTTACGACACTTCAAACCTTCATCTACTACCAGAATTTCTCCGAGGATAGCCGCATCCTCAAGGGTGTAGTGGGTTCTGTCTGGTACGTCTCCGTTCATCGGTCCATGGTTACAGTGCACCGACCTCCGGCGGCAGGGTGATGGAGACATTACACAC